GAAATGATTATGTAAAATAAAATATAAAATTATAATATATACAATTTTGCAAAATAATTGTTATAATTGATGAGCTTCTTTTTTCTTTATTTAATTTTGCGTTTTTATTTATTTACTTTATATTTTACTTATTTATTTATTGCTGTTTTGTTTATGGTATTTTGTTTTATTTCAGTTATGAGCCCTTTTTTAATGTTGTTTTTAGTTTTGTTTTTGTTGTGTTTTTATTTTTTGCTGTTATGTTTTGTTTTCATTGCAATTATTTTAGCTTTTTATAATTATTTTTTTTTTTGCTGTCAGTTTTCGTGGCAACATGTGGAATATTATTCCTTGCATGAAGCTTCCAAAATTATAATATACATTTATAATCTAAATTATGCAAAGTTGGTGTTGTTGCTGTTATTATTAAAATGATAATTATTTAGATAATTTATTATTTATAAAATGATTAGAAATAAATACATATTTATGAGTGTATTTGTGGACTGAAAATGGACCTTACTTTCCATCTCACTGCAGCTGTGGCAAAAAAGTAAATCTGGACCCTGATTGCCGGCATTATCAGTCCAGGTTATTACTAATAAACTAACGTACAAGGAGTCAATCTGTCATCTAGTTTTAACCCAGTATATGTGGTATATATTAGGTGGCCAGTGCAAACGCTCTGGTATACTGTGGCAGTAACCCGGTTTCTGATGTCTTTTTTCAGATTGATTGCTTTTATGCTGTTTTATTCATAAATGTTTTTTCTTTCTCTTTGTTCCTTGAAGCAGTTGTGAAAAATTGTGTGCTCAGGGTGGTGTTTCCAGGCTAAAAAAAATCATTTTTAATGGCATGAGAGTCACCTGTCAACTACATTCATCACAGGCCGGGATTTTGCGTGTTGGAGGTTTGTGTGTGTGCTTTTCACATATTACCCAGCGGCAACACCTGCCTAGCTCATAATCAATTGCTATGGAAACATGTTATTCTGTGTGATTAATAGCATACACACATCTTATGTTTCTCTCATTTGTCTGAGAGTTGCTCAAGGATGCTTAAACAGAAATATCCAGCGCTGTGCTGCGTTCATTCTGGTTGCGTGCCTTTGCTTATCATTGGCAAGTCATGTCTCGACTGCTGAATTTTAACATACTGAGAGACAAAAGAGAGCAAAACGATTGTAAAAGATCTGTGACAGAATGTCAGAAGTTGTCTTCGAAACGCAGCCGGTGAGATTATGAATAATTGGTAGCATTTGTTGAGCTGACATATGACAGTGAAGCCTGACAGTTTTGTGTCAATTGCATGTTAACATGCTTGTTTTGACATCCTCGATTTTGGAGTTTGACAAAACTGATATTGTCCATTTATATGTGTATGGTGTGTGCGCAGTGTTGGGGAACCTGCTTTTGACAACTTAACTTTCTAAGCTACATGCTATTCATAATCTAATATAGCTACAGTCAAGCTACTCTTATGCTGAAACTAGCTATAGCTATTTTTCTCCTGCAATAAATCTTTCTTTTTATTTTTTGCATCTGCTTTGAAGATTCACATTTTATTTTCATTTTGTGACAGCCTGAGCCTTTCCATCTGGGACACTTTTTTATTTTATACTATATTTTATTACATTCAATATTTAAATTTTATTTTCACATCAGTTAAATGTGCTCATCTAATTTTTTTTTTTTTTTGTGATCTGATCAGATCTACAAGAAAATTTGTCAACATTTCCAGGTTTAAATGAGATTGATTAAATTAGAATGAAAATATTTTATTCAAAGTGGCAGATCTGCCAGAAAGGTTAAAAGGAAAGCTATTTAAATTTTATTTTCATTTCCGTTATATGTGCTCCTTTATTTATTTGTTTGTTTATTTATTTATTTATTTATTTTTATTTGGCATGTTATGATCTGCAAGAAAATCTGTCAGTATTTTCAAGGTGTAACTTTGATTTTAAATCTTCGATTTTTGTAGTCTCCAACTTAATATTTCCTTCAAAGCAGAAGATCTGCCAGAAAGGTTAAAAGGACAGCTATTTAAATTTTATTTCGTTTGAGTTATATGTGCTCATTTATTTATTTATTTAGTTAGTTAGTTGGTTTGCTATGATCTGCAAGAAAATCCGTCAGTATTTTCCAGGTTTAAATTAGATTTAAAATCTTTAATTTTTATGGTCTCCAACTTAATGTTTCCTTCAAAGCGGCAGATCTGCCAGAAAGGTTAAAAGGACAGCTAGAATGAATAATAGTTTGGGAAAATTAATCCTGCACATAAGAAAAGCTGTCCTTCAAGTACACAAAGAAATTCCTTTCAGCCACTGGAGAAAAGATTTCTTTGGTTCACTTGGGGTTGAAGGTCATCAAAACTCGCACTTTGCACCTCATCAACACAATAAAAGTGAACCAGGCGGAGAAGACATTTAATCCCTAATTATATTAATGATGCAATTAGAACATACACTAGCTTTTCCTGTGAAGGGGACGGAAACCGGTAGCGATAGCTGCTATCCGGGGACTTCACTAGTGTCAGCCTGGACCCTCTGATGCTGCTGTGATGCACACAACAAAAGAGTCGCGGCTCGCATAGCGCCGCTCGTGCAGGAGTGTCTTTCGCTGCGTGCAGTTGTCTTTGAATGTTGACCTTGGTACGGAGCTCCCTAGCGACCGAGTAGTGAAGGAATACATGTATACGAGATCAAACCTGCACTCGGGCCTCACCTGGCACTGGCAGTCTGATGTCTGACTTTCTGAAGAGCCTTTGCTCCAGCCACACTTGTCAAACGCTGCTGCTGAAATTAACGAAAAGTTAATTCGCTTTGATCTCTCTCAGGTATGCAGAGGATAAATTATTAGTCATTGACAGATCAGCCAAGTATTTATAATCGTCTTTCGCTGCGTGCAGTTGTCTTTGAATGTTGACCTTGGTACGGAGCTCCCTAGCGACCGAGTAGTGAAGGAATACATGTATACGAGATCAAACCTGCATTCAGGCCTCACCTGGCACCAGCGGTCTGATGTCTGACTCTCCAAAGAGCCTTTGCTCCAGCCACACTTGTCAAACGCTGCTGCTGAAATTAACGAAAAGCTCAGGTATGCAGAGGATAAATTATTAGTCATTGACAGATCAGCCAAGTATTTATAATTCATTAAAATGCTATACAGAGCTGACGAAATGGAAGGTGAATGACTTTTACAAAGACTAACGCGAGTTTAACTGTTGGCATTTACCCAATATCAATAAATCCTCATTCAAGTAAAAGGTTATGTAAGCTGACAATAGAAAACTGTACCTAAAAGATGGAAAAGTTTGTTAAATGTTCTTTTAAGCTTTAATTAAGTGAAATAGACTGTTTACTGTGAATCACAGCTAAAATATGTTGATAATTTAAATTTTATTCCAATTTTATTAAGCAAATCTTCCATATTGAACCTGACACATGATTAATTACTAGCTATTAGCTGGCTAGTCTCACTGGCTGTTGCTATATCATGCATGTTAGCATTAGCATCTACGTTATGTAAGGTCCTGCCCCGGCCAAAAACGTTTTCAGCTAATCGAAAGCTTTTCTTAACCAGTTAGCATTATGCTAAACTTGTGGGCTGTCCTGTTAGCTTTTTAAACAAACAAACTAGACCCGTTGGAAAAAAATTTGCCTTTGGCGACATTTCTACAAATTGATATTGCATTGTCTCTTGCACATTTGCAAACAAATGTAGTGCAATGCTGTACCAGGTGAGATACTGAGCAAGTTTACAGTGTCAGAAAATCCATACATATGGAGCTAGTTATGTGCTGCAAATATCAAAAATGTATTAGTTTACAAATCATTTGCTGTAAATGCTTTGAGGTCATAATATAGTATTGTACATGGAATTGCATGAAAACAAGTCTTTATTAATCAATAATCTGCTCCTGTAATAATTTGTTTGTGGTAAAAAATTATTGGTGTTTTACTACAACTGTGTTCATTTCAGCTGAAAACTGCAATCATTTACATATTTTTCGTGATTAAGGCGTATTAAAATAGTTGTCTGTCATTTCTAATTAGGCACCTAATTGAGTACCCATAAAAGATTTTAGTTTTTTTAGGATAAATTGTAGTTTTTGAACATTATGTGGCCTTTTGCAACTGCCTGAACATAATAGTAATAATTAATTAATAATTGGTGTTTGCAGTGACCACCGCAAGCCCTCAGCTTCTTGATAAGGGAGAAACTGAACATCTGCAACCTGATATACATTAACAAGGCCATATTTCAGGCTGACTTTGGGTTTTACCAAACAAAAGGCCACATTTGCAGCACAATCAATATGGAAATACTTGTCTGTGCTCCATATAAAAAAAAAAAGCCTGCAGAGGAGGTTCAGGGAGGGGCACTGAAAGATCAAGCTCCATTCGCAGATTACAACATTTGATGGATACTCCAAAAACATGGCAGTGATCTCTATTGATCGTCTTGGTTCTAATCAGAGAGTGTAATTATTGACTCCTGTGAGGTCGTTTGGGCAATTTTATAAATGCCGTTTTAAAATTCAGGTTTGCACATCATGAAATGTGGTTAAATTGGACCAATTTGACTATTTTAAAATTTAAATGTATACATCCAGGCTTTTGGGCAAACTTTTTCCAAAATTTAATCAAACGAGACAAAAAGAGGTTCAGATTACACTCTTAAAAGTAAAGGTTCTTTATTGACATTGATGGTTCCATGAAGAACCTTTAACATCCATGGAATCTTTCCATTCCACATCAGGTTCTTTATAGTGGAAAAATGTATAGGGGATTTTAAAAATGTTCTTCATTCAGAAAAAAATCTTTCTTTTAAGAACTGTTTACGGAAAAGTTCTTTGGGGAATCAAAATGGTTCGCTGTTAAAACCTCCACTTGGAAGCTTTATTTTTAGGAGTGTACTTTGGTAGAGAGGTTCTTCACATGAGCATCTGTAGAGAAGCTCCTCGCTCTCAGTGGAGCTGCATTCGCACAGCCTGACTGCGGACAGGTTTCCAGAGTGTTTTACCCCAGCTTTAATCTATATTAAATGATTAGTTTCACAAGATGAAAGCCTGTTGTTTGTTTAACAAAACTTTCCCAGGTACAGTCACTGCCTGAAGCCTGCCAAAGGTTGAAGATACAGAGAGAGAGAGAGTTTGCACAACCCAAACATGTTCTTCAGGCGTTCTTGGTTCTAGAAATTGACATCAGCGCTGCTCGTTCTTATATATTAAACATATGTAAGCATACTGTATATAGAAGCATTACTATATTCAAACCTGCCTACGAGGGGCAAATTTATCAGCAAGTCCTTTGCGTTGTTGACGGGTTAAAGGGACCTTTTTATTAGCCGTAATGCTGGGAAGAGATCTGCCGGGAGATGGAATAATTGTTTGGAATGGGGATTCTCAGCGGACTCTTCTGAGCTTGTCAGCTGGTGTTTGAAGTGTGCGCTGACATTGGGAAAAACTCAAGGGCAAGTGTTGAGCAGGAAACAGGCTCTTAAATGGAAAAGGGAGGGGAGCGAAAGAGAACAGAAGAGGAAAAACAAAGGCTTGTAAGTGGCGTTTGTGTTTTAAGTTGCTTGTGTATGTTTGTATATGTGTGGAGAGAGTTGCTTCTTAACTTTTTTTATTAAATATGAGATATAACCATTTCCCTCAGAGACCCTCGAAAGGCTTAAGAACCTCAAGGATCTGGAAAAAAGACCTTGAGTTTTCCACTTTGAGAGTCAACCAACATGAAACAAAGTGGAGAAGGACTCCTCACTTAGTCTACACTCAGGTGTGTCTCTCTCTTCGTCTAAAAGTAAAGAAAGAAACCAGTGTACTTTTAGGAATTTGAATATGATATGAAACGCCACAGGGCCTGCAAACGTCCCTTCTGGGGTGGGATTGTGTGCAGTTGATTGTCTTGTTGTGTCCATAAAAGCGTGCTGTGGCCAAGAAGATGCCCTTCAGTTTGAGGTGGATGTATTTTTTATTGTATAAAGCACTATATAAATAAAGGTGTTGGCTGTTTTGAGTTGATCTTAGTTAAAGTTGTTGTTCGCAATAGCACAAGTTTTATTAACCATTGAGGTACAAGAGGAAATAGTCAAAGGGTGTTTATGCCATGTAGGTATTACCGTAATTATGAGATGACTGTTGATGTTCACAAACTTAGGAATAATTTGTTTCTATGCTCATAATACCAAAATGGATCCATGTCCAACTTTGTTTGTGTTTTTATAATGTATTTTTAATGTCTTTTATTTTCCAAACATTTGTTAACACTAACTCTGAAGTTATTTGTAAATATCCAAGATTTGCAGACAAATGAATAATAGTTTTTTTCTCAGGGGAGGTTTGTATATACAGTGTCAAACACTGTCATTTTAGGCCACTCACAACACATGCTTGACACTGAAAGTCTGTGCACTCCAACCTGGAACAAGGGGATAAATTATAGCAAACAACAAAAAGTTGCATGAAGTTTCCCTGGGTGTCCTTATAACAGGCAGTGCACGGCATGTCTCCTTTGAAGTTAGTGTTGGAAGCCAACGAGGGACCTTGCAGGCGGGTAAATAAAAGATGGAGCATTTCTCCCCCCCTTTCCTTCGCTGGTTAACAGGGCAGCCCCCGCTGATGAAAAGAACATTAGCTTTGATTAATCAATCAATGCCCTGGCGGCCCGCTCCTTCCTGTCAATGACTGGGGCTGCCAGCAGCACACCGAATGGAGGTTAGCGTATGATCCAGACCCCTCCTTACGGCGTGGCAAACATCCGGCTGCGGTTCTCACGCTGTGATGCCTGCCGAAATCCCCCACAATCGATCTTTAGACCCTTTTACGGCTTTAATTTGTGAAGTCTTTCCTGCTAATGACTCTGTTTGAGGTGTATTCATTTTACCACCGCAGACTTCATCCTATCTGCGCTTCCTCGTTTGAAGTCATTTGAAGTTTTATCGCTGCTATAGAGCCGAATAACAAGCAAAACATTACAGAATATTGAAACCAACTTTTGCAGTTTATAGACATTTTGACTTTTTCACAACAGTGGAGGTCCATCATTGGGTTATCTGAGTTGATTTGCTAATTGAAAATTGAAAATTTGTATTACATTGTTACGCCAGTAGGTGTACAACAGGTGACTGTCTTTATGAGTGAGTCATTGACTTATTCACTCAACCAGTTTGTTAGAAAACACTGATTCATTTCAAAATGAAACAAATAACTGTATTTATGAGTGAATCATTGTATAATTCACTCAATCGATTTGAATTGGAATGAAACACTGCGTGTTGTTGCAATGGTTCTGCTTTGGTTTCATGGTTAATTATTATTTTTTTATTTGTGAAGCAAAAATACTGTAAATATTGTGTCTACAATGTAACTTAGTTGCTTTTATACAAAGTTCAATTAACAAGATCATATTTGCAATTGTATTGAATATTAGCAAAGCCACTCTGCCTTGGGCTGTTGAACTTTAATGCTAATGTACTAATGTATAATATTCACTCTAATCTCTGAACAAGTAAACGCATATCTAGCAGTTTTTATTAGTAAGATGAGCTAGTCAACACTATGACCAACCTTAAAAATCTTTCATATGTTTCACAACAAACCTTACTAGTTTTCTTTCTAATGGCTTGCTATGCTCTGCAAATGCAAATGTAATTTCATATGACAAGGAAAGTAAACTTTCTTTCTGGAGTTGTGGGGTGGGGGCTCCCAGTGGGGGACGGAGTGCTGAAGAAGCCCTGTTCCAATTCTGTCATCGTCAAAGTTTGACATAATAAGCGACTGTTCACGTGCCTTTGTTGAGTGATACAACACAAGAGCAGGGTCCCAATTCCTCACTGTTAATTTTTTGTTGTTTAAAGGGAAAAACACAAGATGTCTATTCCTTTAAGGGATGCTTGGCAGTGCTTATGCTAAGTAATATAACAAACCCGTCGTGATGTCTGTTTGAGCACCTTTTATCTTTCCAAATCCACAGGAGGGCTCTACCTTTACCATGTTGGAGAGAAGCGGCATCTCTGAAATAATTTAAGTAGCCCTTTTTTGAAAGCCCAGACAAGTTAAGAGAATTCACATCTAAGATCAAAGCTGTACTGTTGCAGTGCCACTGGAGTAAGTATTGGCTCTCTAGCTTTCTATGTTGTGATCAAGTGCTGTTTTTTGTGGTTAAAAGGCTGTGCAAGATTTTTCTAGCGTTTAACTATAAAGTTGAGTGTGTCTACATGTTTACTGCCAGGTGTGTGAACAGCAAATTAAGTGTCAAGATATATATGATGTCCACTGATGGAAAGCAAGCATTTATTATGTAACAGCTAAGAGACTGATTTATCTCTAACACCAACATTAATGTAAAATCAACAATGGTCATTCATTCTGTTACTTAAAATTATTCAATACTTCAGCTGACTTTAAAAAGAGTAAGTGATTAGTGCACTGAAAAATTTAAATTCTGAGTGAGAAGCAGCAAGTCCACATTACTGTTTTCTTGCTGTAGCTGCTGGAGATACAATGTCAGCGCCAAAGAGGCATTACAAGTGTTGTTTCGGGATGCACCAACGAACATATGAGTGGGGTATGAGTGGTTATGAACGAATGAATGAAACGCATTTGTCCGTGTTTCACTCATCTCGAATCGCGCTCGCGGAAAGCTTTTGCTTTAAAGGGACAAACACAAAAACGGCGCGTTTTGGCTCATACCCTAAAAGTGGCAATTTCAACAAGCGATAAAAAATTATTTGTGGGGTATTTTTAGCTAAAACTTCACATACACACTCTGGGGACATCAGAGACTTATTTTACATCTTGTAAAAAGGGGCATAATAGGTCACCTTTAAGTCGCAATTGCCTTTTTTCATGCTGTGCCAGAAACAAAACCCAGCATAACAGCAGTCTGTTTTACTTATGTGCTATTTCAAATCTTATATTTATATTTATTAATTTAGCAGATGCTTTTATCCAAAGCCACTTGTAGGATACAAGCAGAAGGAATAAACCAAGCGTGTAACACAACATAAGTAATTTTACCATAGTGTATTCCTGTAAGCTTTGGAGTAGTGCAGCACTAGTTAAGAAGTGATTTTTTATTTATTTTTTTGTTAAGAAAAAATAGTTCATAAAAAAGGTTTGTTGAGTGCTATCAGAATAGGTCTTCTGAAACTGTACGATAACATTGTGTGAAGAAAAGTTCAAAATTATTTGCAGATAATGTTGAATCTAGCACATGTTCCAGTCTAGAATTAAAAAAATGGCTTTTGCAACCAATGCCAATAGTGTATTTATTTATTTATTTATTTACTGTGGCCTGTTCCTCACACAAAGCCATGACTTTGTATGACTTCAGATGTCATGAAGTATAGTGGATTAGTCATGTTAAGCCATTTATTATACAAAGCGTCATTGCATTTAAATTACACATATTTATCGGTTTTTGCTTTCCCTGGGAATCGAACCAATAACCTCACACCATGCTAAACTTTTAAAGCTACAGAAAGAAATTATATTTCTACATAATTCCATGAATTATTGACAGAATTTTCACATTTAGGTGAACCGTTTCTTTAATAACACCCTGATGTTTGTGTAAGATTCTTCCGAACACCATTATGTGTAAGGTTGAAGACAAGAAAGTTCTTTCTCTAGTTTCTTTATTCATCTCTTTTCATTCTTGACAGATAAATCTGCTGGGATTTTCTCTCTTTTTTTCCCTTACACAAGAACATCTCTAATTTCATCAGCTCTCCTGACTGACAAGCATCATTACGGATAAAATTATCTTGGTAATTATCCTGCCGAAAAGAGATTTATTTCCCTTTGTGAGGAGGAGAGCGGATCCATGGGGCCACGTAGTGATCTGCAGCGTGGAGACACTTCGTTAAAATAAGCATCCTAATGAGACGAGCCCTCCTGCAGAGCGCTGAGGCCCAAGCGTTACACCTAGCAGGAACACTCGCTTTTGTTCAGATGTGCTTTAAGTAAGCGTGAACACGGTATCGTCTGCATTTGGAGGGTCACTTATACAGGAATTCACAGTACGTAATTATCTTAATTTGCACCCCGGAGCCATATCCGATATGAGACCTTCCGCCCATAACTACACTGACGTAACTCACTCGTAGGCCTGTGCCACAGAAAGGTGTCAAGCTACTGTCGGAAATGTGAGATGATGAACAGAGAGTTCATTGACTGAAGTACTTTGAGGTATTTAGTTTGGCAAAACTTTGCCTGTAGTTGCAGTTTTGAAAATTTGTATATTAACTTGCTTGAAAGCCGTCTCTAGACTTGTCAGTTAACATGCACTGGTTAGCTGAATTTAAAACCTTCATAAACACTAGCATTATGATATTTCGAATGATAGAATTGTTTCTGTTTCTTACACTCTAAAAAATGCTGGGTTAAATACAACCCAGTGCTGGGTTAAATAGGGACAAACCCAGCAATTGGGCTGTTTTGACATTGTTGTTTTTGTCCCTATTTTACCCAGCACTGGGTTGTATTTAACCCAGCATTTTTCAGAGTGTAGTAAATCCCATTAATGTATGATTTTGGCTGAAACATTTATCCAAAGTGATTTACAGATACATTTGATCAGTATGTGTTTCCTGGGATTCGAACCCACAACCCATTGCATCAGACTTATTTCGATACAGTGCTTTTTGAAATATGTATATGATTTGTGTTGGTAATGTTTTCTGAAAGTGACACTTGAGTCTCCACTTAACTGTTGTTTGTGTGTTAGATTTTCATAATTGGTCATTAGCAATTGTACAGGTTGACAAATTTTGTCATTAAACTCAGAGTTTAGGTGAAGCTGATGGGGAAACAAGCTCTTTACGATAATGAGCACCAGTGTTTGCTGTAATTAAGTGCAGAACAAGTGGCCTCTTTTCCTAATGGCTTTGCTAGTTAAGGGTCATTGTGTGGATAGATTATTAAAGACTGAAAGAAATTAACAGGCACCTGCGGGAACTGTAGGACAACTTTCAATAGTACACAAGATTCTTAACCAGAAGCCGTCATGTTTTTTTCTGTGATATTTCCTTCTGGTAACCTTAGGTGACATTGCTAGATGTTTGCAGTTGCAGTACAGATGGACTAAGGGGATCTCTAACATTAAGCAAGGTCCATCCATCCATCCATCCATTTTCTATAACACTTTATCTTCTGCAGGGTTGCAGATGGGTTGGAGCCTATCCCAGTGTCTTGGACCACAGGCAGGGGACACCCTCAATGGATGGCCAATATTAAGCAAGGTAAAAAAGTGTACATCATTTTAAAGGCCCTTCACGTTTTATTTATTTATTTAATTCATTTATTTTTTTGCGTACCGTTTTCACTCTTTGTATCTCTTACTGGGTTGTTGTTCTTCCAATCTAAACGATTAAACTTTTAGTTGTCTGTCTAATGTTTTATACGGAAGACCAGTACTGTTACATAAGAAAAAAAGATCATGTTTTGGTAAATCGTAATTATGACATAAAAAGACTAAAGTCACAATTATGAGATAAAAAGTCACAAGTATGGAAAGAAAAAATGCCTTTTTATCTCATAAATATGACTTAATATGTCTAAGTTGTGTTCATGAGATAAAAAGTCAAAATTATGACAAAAAGTATACATACAGTACTAAGACATAGTAAGTCTAGTACAGGGATTCTCAAATCTGGCCCACGAGATCCACTTTCCTGCAGAGTTTAGCTCTAACCCTAATCAAACACACCTGAGCATGCTAATCATTGTCTTCAGGATCATTAGAAAATCACAGGTAGGCGAGTTTGATCAGGGTTGGAGCTAAACTCTGCAACGCATTGGCCCTCCAGGGCAAGATTTGAGGAACCCTGGTCTAGTATCTCATAATTCCAACGCTATGATTTCAACATTTTATCTAAATTTTGACTTTATTTCAACTTTTTTGCCTCAGAATTCTGACTTGGTGTCTAATCATTTTGACGTTTTACATCATAATTGACTTTTTATCTCATTAACTCATATTACTAAGATTTTCTTTAGCGCAGAATAATATGAGACTGGAGAATATAAGCATGTAGAGTATATCTAGATGGTTCACTCCTATTACTATGAATGGGATAAACTGCAGCATGCAATATGGCGGAATAAATCACCAGTAAATCACCAGCCAATCGCCAGTTGGTAAAATCTTCATGTCACTGCAGTTGCCAGTAAGCTCCTGTTGCCATAGTAACAGTTATCCATGTAAATGCATAAACAATGTTCTCTAAAATGCTTACACTCTTCCATATATACTTTTTAGGAATGTAAAAATATATTTACGTATGATGTTATAAGTTCTTTCCACATCTTTTTAGCAAATTTTGCCTTAAAGTAGTTTATTGTTGGCTAAAGTTACATCTGCCAGTGACGAGTATAAATCAGGCTTCAGTGTCGCTTGCAACTGGACATGCACACTGGCTGTACCTGAAATGCTTGCATTTAAGTACTATTTTAGCATAAGAAACAAGGTTTGAGTATTTCACCATTCAAGTAACTAGGAGTTGGTCTTGCATGCCTAAAATAGCTGCCTGGAGGAATTGCAAATATGGCCGCAGAGTGACCTGATTTTCTTTGAAATGGACTTTGGTAGCACTGTTGACATGGACAGTGGTCAGACATACTGTTTGGTAATCATTATGCAAAAATATTTAGCATAATGCACAGTTGGCAAATCAGAATCAAGTATTCCAGAGAACCATGTAAAAAACAGAGGTAGACGTGTTTTTGGAGGCATAAAACTGTCAGCCCTATCAAAGCAGGTCACCTTCACAAGCTGATTGCATGATGTGAAATTTATGGCGTACACATGCACCGAAGCAAGTATTTGTACATACTCAGCATTCTGCTTTTGAATGTCCAGGCACAGTGCACGTGACAGTGCTGGAAGAAATGTAGACGCCGCCTTGGGTCGATACAAAAATGTATGTGCTTGGAGCCTAGGAGGCATTCAGTAATGAAATCAATAGCTGTGCTTGGCTCCTAGCATTAAGATCATTGGTCTGGCTGCTATTTAGTCATCGTTGTCCTACAACCTGGGTGCAAGTTGGCTACCAGTGAAAAATCAATAAAGTGACACCACAGTCTGCATCCCAATTATTGGTGAGACTGGTGAGAGATCAATTCATGTGTTGGCCATTAACAGGTCCTTTTGGGAAATCATACTGCATTATTTGTGTTCGGTTCTCTCTCATACAAGCGCTCTCCTTCCCTGCCTCACTCTAAAACAGCGAATTATACAAATCAACAAGAGATTGTACAGCCAAAGACCTAGTTACCTTGTTTTGCTTTGCCTCATGCGACCCTCACATCAGTGATCTCACAATAACATGTATTATTAGGTTGTGTGCTATAACCTACCAGAGTTGCTGCAAAATGTCACTTAAAATAGAAACTTAGAATGTCATTTAGAAAGACATTAAATAACATCAAGCTGTAATTATTTGATTGCATGATTGATTGATTTTTTTGTGTGTGTGATTCTTTTAAAGGGAAGAAAGAAATGCTTGTTACAAAACGTTCTGACTAAATTGTGGCAAGGAATGCGCGAAGTAGCAAAAAATAATTAATACTTTCAAACAGGTTTCCTGAACATTTCCTCATCTGGACAAACAGATATTCTGCTGGTCGGGATGCTCTGAGCTGTATCTGTGTTAAAGTCTAATCTGAACTCTAACAAAAAATATTTTTACATTAAAAATGATCTTGTCACCCTGAGATTTGTATATAAGGATATAATAATATGCTTTGTTGCCTTTGCAAAAAAAAACTGAGCAAATTCATAAATCATGGAAAATGTTATATTTAATCAAATGTTTTTTAAATAGATATTTACATCAAGTAAATAAATAAAAGGAAATCAATCAACCAATAAATCTTGGAAAATGTGATATTTATTCAATTGGTTTAAAATAGATATTACGTCACCCTAAAATTTGTATAAAAGGATATAATGTTTTGTTGCTTTTTCTAAAACAAATAAGACTGTAACATTTAATCAAATGGTTTAAAATGGATATTTATTTTAATTTTAAATTGTGTTCATATAAACTACTAAAGTCTGAGGTTGATAAGATTAAAAATTTTTTTCAAAAAAATAGTTTATCCTCACCAAAGCTGCATTTTTTTTAAATAAAAAAATACAGTAAAACAGTAATATTGTGAAATATTATTAAAGTTTAAAATAACTAATTTTTCAGCAGCCATTACTCCAATCTTTAGTGTCACATGATCCTTCATAAATCATTCTAATATGTTGATTTTATTCTCAAGAAACATTTCTTATTATTATCAATGTTGAAAACAACTGCTTAATATTTTTTTGTGGAAACCATCATGCATTCTTTTTTCCAGTTTTTTTTTTCTTTTTATGAATAGAATGTTATAAATGTTATTTACTATCACTTTTGATTAATTTAATGCATCCTTGCTGAATAAAAGTATTAATTAACTGACCTACTGACCTAAACTTTTGAATAGTGTGTTTATACTTAACTTTGCTATGTATAAAAATGTGTTCAATTAATGCAAATGAAAGTTGCTTTGCCAACTGTATTGTAAATGTTTTAAACGTTCATACTTTGTTGTTTTTAATGAAATACTTTGTATTTATTCTGAATTCATAATATGTACACCACTTAAAGATTACCCAGTTCAACCTGATATAAATATTTCATATAATTGAAATTCATAAATGCAAAAGTGTTGAAGAGCCAAGAAGTTGTGCTTACACTAGGCAGCCGTCCAGTTTTCAAAGTCTTTTTTTTTTTAAATAAATGTGAAACTACTATTAAGTCTAAAGGAAAAGCATTAGCGTTCTTCAGTTGAGGTGCAAATCCAACACTAATGATATGTGTCTTGCAGCATTATTATTCTGATGGTGAGGTTGTTGACACCTGACACAGACCACACTCTTAAATCTCTGACTGCAGCACAACATCTTTAAATCCCTTGTCCCACGTTGATTGACATCTCTCATGTGCTTCTCTGGCAAAGTAGCACAGCCCTACATTTCTCCCTGGAATGGTAAACACGAGGTAAAACATATTACTAGGAGAAGCCAGCAAACGGCAGCGTGTCAGTAGGAGAATATCTCATCAGTCCACATTCTTTATCAACTAGCTCTCCGTGTCACACTTTCTCGTGCAGCTCATGCATATGTAAAGACCAGAATATGTTCCAGCAGAGATAAGGATGTTGCTCGCACCTGCAGTGTCTTACAAAAACACAAGCACAATGGCAACATGACGTGCAGCTGTTTAGCGTGACAGTGGTGTAATTGTAAGGAGGGAGAAGACGTCTTGCTCTTCACTCAGCTTGAGGCAAGACTAACTTCTCTCTTCGAGATACTCTATGGAGGAAGATGACAGGAGCGGAGAATGACTAGATCTCTTTAGTGCCTACAATTACATGGCATGATGCCTTATGTGTGCAGTCAATAGAATAAGGCCTAACGAAGCAGATATCTTAAACACATGGCTACAAGATACCATTAGTTAAGTGGGAATGCACCATGCGGCGTTCAGCATAACACTGAAAACATCTGAGGTAAAAAAATGAGGCACATTTATATAGAAGCTGAAGAACACAAAATGTAGATTTGTTCAGTTGACAGGCTTTTTATCCTAAGCAACTTCAAAAACCACTCTCATGAAAACTGGTAATAATTTGTATTGTCAAAATCGTGACTTCAGTCATACGACTTATTTTATTTGTTATTTTTTAAAGTTTCTTTTTCTCATAAAAATTCCTATAGCATCTCATGAGCCTGGGTCGGAACCTATAACTTTGCCATTGCTAGTGTCATAACAGCACTTTAAATTAATTTCTAGAAGCGTTTTGTGATATACTTGTGCTAAGTAAATCAATAATAAAGTGCCGAGTTATGACAGTACTTAAGTTTAGATGTATTGTGCGATACAAATCATAACTTCAAAGCTTGAAAACACTGTTTAATTATTAAATTGAAACAAAACTTCCCTCAGACCTTGTTTTGTTTACGTCTAGTATTAAGATCCATCTCAGTAAAATGGAAGCCACAGAATAAAACATTTTTAAAAAGTAATTGCAACTTTTTATCTCACAGTTCTGAGTTTATATCTCACAATGCTTACTATTTCCTCGTAATTCTGACTTTCTGAGAATTCTGAGTTTATATTTCGGATTTCTTTCTTTTTGTATGAATTCTGAGTTTACATCTCACTTTTTTTGTTTGTTTCTGCCATAAATTAAAAAAAATTAAATAAAAGGGTATTTGTGAGTGTTTATCTCACAGCTTTTTTTTCTTGCAATCGCAATTTTATAACTCACAATTCTGACATTTTTCTTTTTTCAGTTTCTCAGAATTGCAAGAAAAATGTCAGAACTGTGAGATGAAAAGTAGACATTTTTATTTATTTATTTTTTAAATCATGTGGCCGAAACAGGCTCCCATACAGCTGATCTGTATAAAAGTGGTCAGAAAAGTATATTTTGATTACATAGGGAATAAAACGTTCTTATAGTGTTACAGTGACTGTTCACAGAATCACACTTTTACTGCCTGGGTAAAAAGCAGGTGAGATGATATTCCAGATAAACTGTGGGTTGAAGTCAAAATATTTGGCAACCCCCCTTCCTTGTTACATAATGTGACAAACAGACTTAGAAAGTCACCATAAAATGCAAGCTTGTACTTGCCAGCAGTGTTATGTACTGTAGAAGGAATCAGCAGTTTATTGTTTGATTTGGCTGGAAGACCTTACTGTACAGATCAAAATAATCTCGGATTAATCAATTATCCTCAAGACTCCAAAGTATTATTAGCCTGTTGACATTACTACAACAAAGCAGTCAGGCTAGAAAGGAGCAATGGGCTGGCTCTGGTCCAAGTAGGCTGTCCTACGTGAACTTGCAATAACGAAGTAGGCTGTCCTACGTGAATTTACGCAATAACTAAACTCAACTATTTCAGATTTCAAGGCATTGACAAGCACTTGTTATTCGCAAGAGTCGTCAACCAGGTAAGCGAAGCAATTTCCCATGTTGCCATAATGTTGTTACAGTATATCGCTGCATTTTGACTGGAAAGGGTGTAACAAACAAATTTAAATAATGTACACATTTGGTCAGAACTGCAAGCGAGTGACGCGACCGAACTCAAATGAAGCTGCAATATATTGTAGTAGTTACGCTCACTTGTGGTGTAAACAGGTTCAGTGAAAACTGCTCAGTGTTTTTAAAATAACTTTGAAATAGTGCGTCGGTAATGATTTTATTCGATAAGGTGTGAAAATATGATCCTTGATAAGTACAGTGGTATTTCTTCAAGCTTACAACTGTTTGTTCAATAATAGCGACGTCCTCTTCGTGAACGAATCGTTCTTTTGAGTCGGATCTTTTTAATGAATTGGTTGAACCGGTTCACAAAACGACGAATTGTACCGAGTCTGATAAACAAATTATTCAAATCTTGACTGTATGACATTTATCAACATACAGACGAATTGGTTTCAATTAACTGTAAAACAAAACGTGAATACGTGATGGCGTAGCGTAAAGGAACAGGTGAGTTGTTTTATGAACCTGTTCCAAAGAACAGTTTCACATAAATTCTGAGCTCCCTGGTTCTTGATACTTTTGGTCAAGATTTCAAAGTAGAAACTTTTATTAGGCTACAGTGAATAAAAGAGAATCTTTTCCTAACTGAAAATAATAAGTGTGTTCGCATATGTTAAGATGTCTTACTAATGTTATTGTCGCCTTACTTTGCTTTTATTCTGTAATGTTCTGTGTTGTCCATGGTAGGAAATTTAGCAAAATGGCTAATCTGATGAACAATGACGTGTTCCTGGCCTTCTCCACATATGCCACCATTGTCATCCTCAAAATGATGTTCATGGCTCCTCTGACTGCATACTTCAGGATAACCAGAAAGGTGCCATTGGTTTAGAAAATTCAGTTTTATATAAACGTCAATAAAGAAAAGTACTTAAGACTGATTCATTCAGCATAATATTGAAATTAACCTGACCATTAAAATAAAGGCAAGAATATACAGTATGCACATAATGTAGAGCTATTTTTGTCAGTAGTCCTGTTGAAAATGGCACCCCTTCAATCAGATTAGGGGCATCTGGTAAAATTTACTGCAGTACTGGGCAGATTTGTCTTTTTGGCCTGTATAATAATAGTAAACATCCATTTTCCCCTATTGATTAAATTTATTGGATTTTCACGTTCAAAACTGGCACTTTGTCATGTTATTTACCAAAATTTAAAGACTAAAATTTGATTTATATTGTATCAATTACGTTTCACTATTCAGGATACATAATAATGTGTTTTATTGCAACAAGGATCATGGCTGCTAAAAATAAATGAATAGGTGTCAAGGTTTTATATTATTGCTTCTCAGTATTATATTTAATGTCTTTCTGTTCATCATGCAGGCCTTTTCAAACTGGGAGGACACTGCGATGGGCAAAAAAGAACCAGAGGAGCGAAAGAAGATGCTTCAGACCAATCCTGATGTAGAACGTGTCCGAAGGTATTAGCAAAGTTCTATCCTCGTTTAACCTGTTAAGTGGGAATATTCTCTGTGATTCTTGCAATTTTGAATTACAGGTGCCATCAAAATGACATAGAGAACATCATTCCCTTTGTGGTGATTGGTCTTCTGTATGCATTCACGGGGCCAGACCTCTCCACAGCTCTGCTGCACTTCCGAGTGTTTGTGGGCTCACGTTTCATCCACACTGTATCTTACGTTTTGGCTTTGCCCCAGCCTAGCAGAGGTCTGTCCTGGGTGGTGGGAATGATCACAACTTTCTCAATGGCCTACAGGGTGCTCACCACAGCACTCCTTCTCTAAAGACACCATAGATCTGCAGAACAGAAGAGGCCTGTTTTATATCTTTTTATCATCTCTGGTGTTATATTTTCTCATTAAACTGTATGCAATTCCTAATAAAATCTGTCAACATGTCATCTGTATTTTTGATGAATTTTCAGTTACCAGTTAACTCATCTTTTTTTTTTTTTGACAACAGTCAACAAGTCGTTGTCACAGTGACTCAGCATTAAAAAGAGGGTTGCTATCAGGCTTTTTTAGGATGCATTCCAAGTGCGCAAACCTGCTTTTCTCCATTGTTTAAACGTGACCTTTTTATTTTAGATTTTAACATATCTATTGCAGTCTTATCTCATCTGCTTGAGGGTGCAAAGAACAGTTTGGGAGATATTACAAAATCAAGTCAAAGTTTATTTATGTGAAGTGCAAAACAGTGCAGCATGCAACATTTTTGACGTTTTGTGTGTGTGTGTGTGTGTTTCATTGTTTACATTTACCATTTTAAAACGGTTTAAAAGTCTATTAAATAGACTATAACATGGCACAACTTACCCATGTAGTGTGACAAGATACACCAATACTGTTTGCATGTTGTTACAAAAGAGTAGGTGTCAGTCAACTGTATTTTTTTTCCTGGGCCGTATTTTTAAAAGTAGCTTTAAGATTTGTGCTTAAAGAGTTAACTAAGTCACCCTGATAAATATTAATAACAATGTGATAACTAGCATTTACATTACGTTAATCGCATTTGAGACAAGATTGGCGACTGCACTCACCATTGATATGTAATAAGTTCGTGCATTTCTTGAGAATCGAACTCATAACCTTGGCGTTGCTAGTAATATGCGCTACTGTTGGAACTACAGCAACGTGCCCTAGGAACTCTTGGTATAAATGTAAACAAATTGTACCAAAAAAAAAAAGTTGCATTAGTATAACAGTTTATGGCCGTTCGACACGCCCACCATCTCACGTTAGTTCAGGAGTGAAACCGAGTGGCGTCAAAAAGGTGAGTAAAGCATCAAAACGCTAATATTTCAACTTAGACTTCACTTTAACTTCTTGCTCGTGTACGTTTGTTTGTTTCTTTTCAATATTAAGGCTATATAAAGTGCATTGGCATACATTTGTGACATTCGAGACCGCCTTCGGCGTCCTAAGTTCGCTCTATTGTTTCCATTATACTGGTAAACAAACAAATCGACACATGTTTGCGCAAACTATATTTGATGTAACAATATTAAACATCCAACATATAAAATCATTTATATTGTGCTACATTAACAGTATTAAATTAGATAATTTGCTCTGTTTATGTACCTTAGCTGTTCTAAATCCAACTTTAAAAGGACAAACTGCTATACGCCGGTTTTATAGAAATATTTGCTTACGTATAACTTGTCTTTGTGGTATTTTTTATCCATTTTCGGTAAAGACAATTCTGTAAATACCAGATCGTTTTTAATTTGGTGCTTGGCTGTGATACTGAGAAGATGCTGGAAAATCCAGTTTAAACTGGCAGCTGTTTTGGAACATGGTTTTTAACTAGTCCAAGTTGGTATAAATTGGACAAATTTATTTGGTAAGGCAATAGGAGGGGTGATATAAGATATTTTCTATCATATTAACCAGTAATGTTGCTTTTGTAAGATTTTCTATATCAAAATATAATGAAAGAATGACAAATACTGTGTTTAGACTTTTGATGTATTTATCTATTTATGTGTGCCTTTTGTTGTTTCCCACTTGTACTCACTGCAGTTTGAATAAAGATGGCAGAAGTTGTGCACATGATTGACAGCGAGGTTTTCCTGGCCTTCTCCACATATGCAACCATAGTCGTCCTCAAAATGATGCTCATGAGCCTCATGACCTCATACTTTCACTTGACAAAACAGGTACGCTACTTATTGCACTCAATTTACTGCTTATGCAACCTGCATTATATATTTTTTCAGCGTTTTTCAATGGGCTGTCAAGCACTTATTTTTCCCAGATTTAATGGCTCCTCTTCTAGGTTTTTTCAAACTTGGAGGACACCGCCTTAGTGAAGACCACAGAAGACAGGAAGAAGCTGGTCAGGGTGGATCCGGATGTGGAAAGAGTGCGACGGTAAACATATAAATGGTTTTATGACAAGATCACTGGGTGAGCGATGAAGGTGCTACTGTTGTTGTCTCTTTTTAATGCCATTACTCTTGAATCACAGGTGCCATCTGAATGACCTGGAAAACATTGTTCCCTTTGTGGTGATTGGTCTTCTGTATGCACTCACGGGGCCTGATCTCTCCATGGCTCTGTTGCACTTCCGGGTGTTTGTGGGGTCACGTTTCATCCACACGGTGGCCTATATGATGGCTCTGCCCCAGCCTACCAGAGCTCTGGCCTTTGGTGTGGGGCTGTTCATAACTTTTTCTATGGCTTACCGGGTGCTCACCACAGCTCTTTTTCTCTAATGGATGGCATTCACTTAATTTGAAACAATTTCATTTTAATTTACTTGCCTTTTGCAGTCTTGTGTCAAAGAAAATGCATCGAGGAACCAATTATAATGCTGTTTTTGTGTCACTTTGTTTTAATTTGCTCATTTTTGGTGCATTTTCTATTGGCTTTCAGTACCACAGTCCCATGAATGCTTTTTATAGTGTGAATGAAACTAAAAATACGGCTTTACACTGCTGATAATATTTAATGTAGTAATCTTTAACTCCTGACACACATTTGAGGATGAGACTACAGCTTTGACTCGTACTGTACACTAAACAGACATTTGTTTTTTGTTACTTATTAATCACGATAAGACGTTAAGCAACAACTTTGGATTGTATTTAATAACTTTGGAGTGTCAGTTATTTAGGCCTATGTAGGTTTGTGTGCTTTTAACAGTTTCACAGTAGTTGCAAAGACAAGCAAAGGAAAATAAAGCATCAATGAATGGCAACAGAACGTTTATTAATGGATTTAATAGTTTAAAAATAAAAATGAGAATGTTTCTGACAAGTGCTTGCAGTGCTTTTAATGTTGCAAGTGTGCAGGAAACCAGTGCTCGTTGTTCCACTAGAGGGAGCTATTTGAAAGCCCAAGTGTTACCAATGTTAGCCCAATGTTTGTCTAATGCACACGGAGCACCTCTTTATTTGTTTCTAATGCACCCTTGGCATGCAGACACAAAATAACTTATTCCTGTGCCCACTATCTGACCGTATTCTGCCTCAGTAGATAAACTGAACTGTTTTATACAGCCTCGCTGCTAACGTTAGCAGATGTTTGGTAAAAATAGCCCTGCTTAACAGTACAAGGATTGCTATCTTATTATTCATGCTTCACTTATTATCTTGCTATGTTATGAATAGCTTCATTGCTAATTTCATGCAACTTCGAACAGTCACTGTAACATAATTATCCTTAGATACATTAAAATGGATCTTTCAGTGTTTTTACTATTAAGTGTTTCAGCTTTATTTGATGATTTTGAAGTCATAAAATCTAAGTTCACTTTGTTTCAAACAAATTCAGGACCTCCGTTCAGCTGCGACCAATCAAATCTTCTGGAAACAACTCCTCAACTTTGAAGCCAAGCAAGAATGTCTGAAATTCTGAACTACATGAATGAAATTGAAGGTAAGTGAAAATATGAATAAACCTATCTGGGTTTAAGACTGTGAAAGTGTTACAGGAATTCAGTTTTGCACTGTCGGACAACTTTGGAATCTTCTGAAACGCAAGTTGTCACTGACTTTAATTTTGTGACATTTCTAAGTGAAATGGCACATTGAACAAGAAAACATGTAGGGTGGAATTTGATCTATTGGTTGTTGATTGGATGGTTATGAAAAGTGAATGTTGTATGAGTCGTATCACAAGAATAGCAAGTCATTTTGATTAAAAATTACCTTGCACTGATTTATCGTTCACATTAAGACCAGCAATGTGCATTAAAAAACAGAATAAAATTTGATTGTCAGACTTTCAATGGACAAGCTCTCTGAAATGAGACCATACTTATATTAAGGGCTCCAAAACTAGTTAAACTCACCTATGTATCCTTCAGCTGCTTCGTCCTTCTCTTTAACCAGCCCTCTCATGGTGTCACAGTAAATACTACTACTTAGCCTTAAGGTCGCCACGGCTGGCCATGCATATGCCCCGTAAAGGCTTTTTCTCATTTGTTTTGGGTCTGTGCCCAGCTCCAGGGTGTGCAATATTTCAGTCAAGCCAAGCATTTTACAGGCTGGCCAGATGAAGAACAGCTAAACCTTGCTCTGTGATCAATAATGACTGATCCGCCCACAAGGGGCTCTCTCTCCACTGGGGAAAAGCAGGGGTCTGGCCTATCCAAGAAGATTTTTTTGGTGGAAACTCAAAGCTCTTGGAGTCAGCCTTGAAGTTGTTCTTTAGATGGATGTTCAGTAAACAAAGTCGAGACTGACATGTGCTCGAAAAAGGCGCTAGTGGTCTATATATATTGATAGACAGATGCTGTAACAGTGTATTTCTCCCACACTGTTTCTGTATTACAACAGACGTCATATATTTCTCAGATCTTCCCACTGCCTTATTGTAAGGCTCGTTAACTGTACGGCCGCTTAATTAGGCAGCACTTCAAAGTCATGGCGTGGGCCAGTATCAAGGTTCAGAAGAGATTTATATCACACAATGGCTCCACGGGTCCTGAAAAATTAATGAACGCTTAGCCGGGATCCGACTTATAGGCGACACGGCGCAATATAAATCAATTTGAGTTTGAGCCTTGCAATCCGGAACCGTCTGTATCTGCTGGACTAGACGTTTTTAGAGCATTTTTGGAGGTGCATCGGCCGTAATGCGGACGAAATAGGTCAGAGGCGAGATGTGAATGTCTTGTGACCTTTCTTCAATGACGGCATGCTTTCTTTCTTGCACAAACTAACGACTTGTGAGTTTATGTGAAGTAATTATGGGTGCAGAGATCAGCCATAATCACATTGAGACAGTAGCGAACGCAGGTCAGTACCATATGTTTGACTCCTTTCTCAGCCTGAGAACAGGTTCAGTGGAATGCGAACATAATAGGACTAACTAATGCCTTTCGCATTGCTGCTCTCTTCTCTGCCCTTAATCTCTACCGAAGCCCATTACTGAGCTCAGAGAATTGCAGCAAACTTGCCGTCTTTTTTTACACTTGTCAGTGCCATTTATACACAGGAAGTCATATTACCTCATGTGGGGTAAAACTCACATTGAAGTGGCCACTTGAAGGGGCAAATAAATCTACCTAAAATGCTCAGTGAAGCAAATGCCCTGTGTTGACTCAATGATTTCAGCATATTTATCTCAGCGTTATGCCTTATAGATGGCCTGTAGGCCAAAAGCCATGAGGAAGTGGTGCTTCAGCTAACATTTAAGCATAAGCATCATTTCAGCGCTTGTGTTAACAGCAGAAATGCAGCAGCAAGTGCAAGCAGAATTTCAGTGCTGAGCCTATTTTTGCAGCACGTCGGACAAAGAATAACCTGAAAATGCACTTGAAACCTGACTTATGAAGCAATTTAAGAGCTCATTGCTCTCCTATTGTTTGAAAAAAGATGTATGGTCATATACACTTTCTATTCAGTAAGTCTGCCTGAATCTGGATGATTTAAAGGGGTCCTATTATGCTCTTTTACAAAGTCTTGATGTTGTTTTGGGGGTGTACTAGAACAGGCTCTCATACTAAGTTGTTCGAAAAAAAAATTTTTTCACATATTTTTACATTATTACAACACCTCTCTCCCCAGTCTTACGCCATAGGCTATGCGTCAGTTTTCATTTATACTTCTGCATCTTTGTCCGCGTCAACGTGCAGTACACATGCAAACCGCTAGTCTGCAGTGTCCACGGGCATGTTGCTGGTGTAACCCGCAGTACCATGGTAAAAGCCGAAGAAGCGGCTCGTCGGAGAAGCACTATAGCCGTGAAGGCGGCAAATAAATATCAAATCATTAAATCATTATTTAAAACTACAAAAAGGAGACAACAACGGAACAGGAGAAGATGGCATACTTTCAATCTTCACAAGGACTTGTACCACGGCAGATCAACATTGTTTGTTGCGGACAACTACTGATGTATAATGCTATGTAGTATAATAAATGATAAGACACTTGTTCTTTGCTTTGTTTTATTTTATATAAGAAGGTGTAACATTAAAATATATTAAAGTGCACATAAACATACACAAAACTCAAGTACATATGGAGGGAGGGGTTCTAGCAGACCAATCACAGCGCTTGTGGTCCGCGTAGAATTGATGCGCTGTTAGATTTTTAGAGAGGTGCACGTCAGGCTACGGCGTAGGGTGTGCGTCTGCGTAGGCTACGGCGTAGGTTCTACGCAGAAGTATAAATTGGGCTTGACTTGCAGATCTTTTTTATGCTCAAACAGCAACATTACAGACTAACTAAAGTTGAAAAAGTGAAAAAGCATAATAGCGCCCCTTTAAGCTATTTATAGCTACACTTTGGGGTTTGGGTTCTATTCGATTAATTACGAAATGTGGCAGCTTTGCTCATATAAATTATATTTAATGATGATCAAGTTTTCAATAGCACGGTTATTTTCATAATTTAATTGAGAATGCATTTTCAAATACAACACAATTCCTGAGTTTGAATTGAGATAGCAAACAGATGCAGAACTGGAATTCAAATTTGAATGTAATGAAGCAGACTTAAAATGAACTTTATTTAACTTATTTTTGACTAAAAGCAAAGTTTGTCAAAAGTTTGTTTTTAGAAACATGTTGGCTGAAGAAAGCATGATTTGAAAGTTTTTGGGGAAATTTTAAAAAAAAGTTTTAAGTTTCGTGTGCCATGCAGGAGTGTGTATTTAATATAAATTTCATCATATTTAATAAAATAACTTATCAGACTGAAAGACTTCATTCAATTGTAATTCAGTAAATTCCTCTTCCTGTCATTCCAATATATAGTCCATTTCAACTTCCTGTGGGGTGTGGTTAATTCAGTTTAAATTCCAACTTATAAATTCAGTTTGAGCCAACTCTTTAATTCTGAAGTTATCAAAACCCTGTGCAATTGCTCATTCCTGATAACCATTTTATCATTCATGAATGATGAATTTACAAGTTTTTAAAAAACTCAATTCTGTTCTTGCAGTTACTCTGCCGCTTTGTTTACAAGTGCAGTTTGAAACAGGCCTTATAGAAGAAATGATTCAACTCACCTCGAATCCCATAATAACAGTCAATAAGGCAACGCCCTGACCCAATCTACTCTGAGCATTGGAAAGCGTGACCTTTACACGTGTTTCAGTAGGAGATTTTGAGTGTTGGAGCTAGGGGACTGTTAGACTCAGCTGGGGTCAGCAGATATCCTATGCTGATCTTAGTGATTGGATAGCAGGTGATTACCATAAGCAATTTAAATTATATTGATTTATCCTCTCGTCTGCTGTAATTGAACACCGTGACCAAACCCCTGCACCCTTTTCCCTTTCTCCTTTTCCTCTTTTCACTCGAAAATGCATTTGGCGGCCTGAGGAGCGCCCATAAAGAGGAAAGGATCCGGCCTTGAAGGGCCAATCAATTGGCTGTTTGCCACAGCAACAATGGAATTGTTCAATTAATATCCTATCTCTGGTTAATTTAGCTGCTTAGCATCCCAGCCCCCTTCACATTATACACAGGGAATATCGAGGTTGCAGTGGGACTTGCTCCAATTTCAATGCAAACGTCCTCCATGTTTCTCATCTGGACAAGAATAATAGAAGAAAATGTTGTTTCCTGAGAGCTTCCTGCCAGATAACCCCCCTAGTGTAATAACCTTGGGAGTTAATCAACTTCTTTTAAATCAAATGCCTAATTTGAACGATAATTATAATTTGGCATTTAGATAACATTGACTAAGCACTTGATTGAGGCAACAGGACAAAAAACAGGCCTAATGGCAATTCTTCCCATGAAAGCACCCTCAAATAAGTTTCGTATCTACAATATTCCCTCGCGCTCTTATGCGAGCTATATTTGGTGCTCGGATCAATTAATGAATGGAAAAACTCCACCTGGGAGACACGCTCGTGCGGTCTCCATTTTTCACCCACCTTTCCAGCACCTCGGGAGTGTGCGCAAATTTCTTGTTTTAATATTTTAGCGCTCTGACTTAAGCTTCGGAGTTCTCTGCAGGTAGCGTACTAGATCATTCTGACATTTCAAAGTACTGAAACCTTTGGAATAAAGTGTTTTTTATTTCATTCTATTAACATAATTTATGTTTGTCAGAGAGCCCACCTCTGTGGAAGTCAAGTAGGGAGGGGTCTTGCCATAATTCATCGTCACATGGCTCTCTGTGTGTTCACGTATGTGTGTGTGTGAGACACATGATAGCGACTGCGCGACATTCGACTTCATTACTTGGCCTGCCGTCACCATTTGGAGTCTGGTATCATGAAAAGATCAAGCGCTTTTTCCCACTCAGACAGAAAGTTGATGTGATGTCATCTCAAATTAAGAACAATCACAGTCAAAGATTAAACCCAATGACCCTTAGGAAGCTGACAGAGGTTAGCACATTAACACCTTTACGAAATGACCCTCCTCCATTGATCGGTAGAAAATTTGCATTCTATTTCATGAAATAGATTTC